ACTCCTACAAAGACCAGAGGCAGGTATGACAGAAGCACACAACTCATACATCTGAGAGCAAGTTCACCTAACACTTTGGTCCAGCCAGCCACAAAGCATGGTTAAATTAAAAAAAAAACGAAAACAACACAAAACCTACCACCACCACCAAGAAACCAGTTGCTACTTTTTAGTTGCAAACTGAATTTCCGTTTGTTAAGACCATTCTTGAACACAGTTTTCTTTCTTGGTGCATATGAAGAGAACAACAGAATAAAATAACGTAAATATTCCCGTTGCTTTGTAGACCATAACTTAGCTCACTTAGAACTGCTTAATAACATTTTATTTAATTTAACCAGGAACTCAATGGACTAAGAAAGTTTATGCAATTCAATCGGATTTAAAATCCAATAGATGAAAAGCATTTAATCATGAAATAATGTGCCAAGGCATGGCTTGGCAAATAGGTGCAACTGAGGTGGAGCTCAGCTTCTTTCAGCTGCCAAATCAGGCCGTTACCTTAGGCATCAAACAGCCAGAGAAGGTAATCACTGCAAAATTGCCTGTTTCACAAGAAAATTTCTGTTCTGGCACTTGGTCAGACAAAATGAAATTTTGCTTGGCAGTGGCACTTAATATTTTGGCATCTCTAGTCTCTGGTGATTAATCACACGGATAAGAAACACACTGACTGCTGTTTAAAGCAATCCTGTATCTAAAGATGCTTCTTCATTTGCAAATAATTTACAAAATTGACATTTGGAGCCTATTTGGCAAGCTAGTTAGTCAACTTTAGCATAACATATGGGGAAACAAGACAAAAGCAGAAAATTGTAAATATTTATTATTGTCCTTCAGTTAAAATAAATCCAAATAGCTTATAAACACCTTTCTGTCATCTGATATTTGTTGCTTTTATTGCTAGAAAAAGAAACCGATTTTTGACAATTGCAAAGGACCATTTCTCATACGAAATCAAAACATTCTTAAAAACAGCAACACTATTCAATCATGTGAAATTTTGTTGCACGTGATGCAATTTCTGTAATCAGCTAGAAAAATGCATACGTATATATTCTTCCATTACATATATGCATACAGAACTAGAAGTCAGTTCCTCTGCTGTTATATGACTCTAGATGAGACTTTGACACTGGTGAAGGGGGTGGGTAAGGAGAAAGGAGGGGGGAGAAAAGCAGTAGTAGTACTAGTAGTACTAGTAGTAGTAGTATAAATTTTGGCTGCATGCACATGTTTGTGCAGGGCAGGAAAGCAGCAGGGCTGGCTCTGGCTTCACTGTTGGGAATGCACACAGGCACGCAACTCACGCAATACCCCCCAAAAATGGACAAACCAGAGAGAACTTAGCCAGGGACAGACAGCACTAAGTCTAGAAGGGTTATATATAAGGAAAATGACGGGGCTCTGAGCAACCTGATCTAGTTGAAGATGTCCCTGCCCACGGAAGGGGGGTTGGACTAAACGACCATTAAAGACCCCTCTCAGACCATACGGTTCTATGATTCTATGATTCTATGACTCGTGGGTGGGATGAAGTAATGCTAACAGATGCACGGTCCAAGGGGATGGAGATGGAAAAGGAGATGCAGAAGAGACGGCTGGAGGGAAGGAGACAGGCTCCAGAGAGAGGAAGGGATGAAAAAAGAGCAAGAAACAAAGACTTGTCGTGAAGGAAGTGCTGCCAACTGCCAAACCTCAGCAGAGGACCTGGAGGAGGAGGTCCCCCAGGGTCCCAGCACTGCCGGCACGGGCAGGAGGGACGAAGCCACCAAGGCCAACCGGAGTGGGTGCAGAGACACGGCGAGGCACAGTCGCCTCGTGCCGAGTGGGTAAGAGAAGAGCCTGTGGCTGCTTCCAGCTGAGAGCCACCATTCCACGAGCCACCGTCCCATGAGCCCAGGGCACGACGCTGCCGGCCGGAGCTCCAGGCCGTCCCCATCGCCGTCCGTAAAGCCAGAGAAGATGAAGTGCCACCGGAGAGCCGGGCTGCTCATCTCCCCAAGACCATGCGAATTGGCCACTTAATTAAATGGCTCCCCAGCCTCCGGCTGAACTTTTCTGCAGGAGGAGGAAAACAAATATCTGCTCTGTCTGCGCCTCCCTCCAGCCCTCGCATGCTGCAGCCGTGAGAGAGCCCGGCAGCCCCGCGCCCCGCAGGGACGCTGCCGGAGCCAGCGGCACGGCTCAGCCCTTCGCTCCTGCCTGGCACTGTGTCCCCACGCTGCCGTCCTTTTGTGGTGGGCAAGAGGACTGGGAACCCAGCACAGGGGAGGGGGGTTCGAGCATCCGTGTTGTCCCCCCCCCGCAGCAACACCAGTCGAAGCGACAAATAAAATCCCGCCTGATGGTGCTTTGGCCAAACTTTGATTTTCCTCTCCCACGGCAGTAAACAAGGGATGATTCAGGCAAGAGGCTCGAGGGCAAAGGCACCACCGGCCGCGGGGGAACAGGAGCTGCTTTCTGCGTGGGGTGGCTGTGGGGCACGGGGAGACCGACAAGGGCGGAGGGGGCACAGACGGTCTCTGTCCTGCACCCGCCCTTGCTGGCAAAAAAAAAAATAGATGAAGGTTAAAAAAACACGAGTGCATGGACTCAGCGCCCGGCTCTGCCAGACTGAGCTGGGCTCAGACCACGGAGGAAGGTTTAACCGGGCGTCTGGGTGAAATGCTGCGTCTTTGAAGCACGCTAGGAAGGGAACTTAAAATAACTGGAGCTGAACGGGAAGAACGGGCTGGAAGCAGGAGGGGTGGGAGAAGGGCAGAAAGAAGAAATGGAAAACAGGTCTTGGATAAAATGGGATGTTCCCCTCCCCCCCAAAAAAATTCCTGGGGTGTTGGCTTCCCATGCACCCTTCTCCAGTGCCCTCGACCTACCCACACCCA